CAGGTCACACACACTGACCATCAGAACTAACTATTCCCATTCAAACACATTAACACTTCACAGACGAAGCAGCAGGACCAAGTGTCTTACCCAAGGATACATTAGACATGTGGCTGTGAAGCACGGGATCTAACCTTCTGGTTGAGAGACTAACGACTCTACCTACTGAGCCACAGCCGCCCCGTCATAATGAACGCATAATTGTTTTTCTGACTAACTAACTTGTTTAACAGTTAAGATACTCCCATATTAAGCAACAATTTGGTTTGGTTCACTTTGGGCATACCTCTGTAATGAATAATATCTGCAGGGATAGACGTACACTCTGCTTCTTGCTCGGTCACTCTCTCTTTTTGTCTTCTTACCTTCTTACCTTCTTACCAATCACCGTCCTCTTCCTCTTGGCCTCGGCCATTGTATCGAGACGGACTGATTGGCTAATATTTATAACTGAAGGCTGGTGTGTGAACTAGTGCCGTAAAGCCGTACACACTTCTTGAGATGTCCCCAGCCCCGCTGCCGGAGTTACATACTGCAGGAAACAGTCAATCGGGCTGCGCTGTGGACATGGGCGAGACTCCATTCTCCCTGTTGAAAGTTATTCTACTTTTATATCAACCTCTGAAGCTACTGTTTCAAGGTGGACAAGTTACATATTGTCGCTTGAATTGAATCCAATGTGTGTTGACACTTTGAGATATTTGGTAGATTTTATTTTTTTGTCTTACGGATGCAAATTTAAAAGAAGAGTATTATTTGGGCTGCTGTGGCTCAGTTGGTAGAGTCGGTCGTCTGTCAACCAGAAGGTCGGGAGTCCGATCCCCAGGTCCTGCAGCAATATGTCCGATGTGTCCTTGAGCAAGACACTCAACACCAAGTTACTCCTGCTGCTTTGTCGGCGGCGTATGCATGTTTATGAATGGGATTAGTTACTTCTGATGGTCACTTTACATAGATAGAAACCTCTGCCATCAGTGTCTGAATGGGAAGGTGTGACCTGCGGTGTAAAAGCACTTTGAGTAGTCAGAAGACTAGAAAAGCGCTATACAAGCACAAGACCTTTTACCATATAAATGTATTTAATGATTTTGACAAATTATCTTCTGATACTAGCTAAAAAAAACTCCATCTCAATCCGTCTGACTGCTAAATCAACAAAAATCAGCACCAGCTAGCAGACTGAAAAAGCAGCTGATTCTATCACTCTAGTTCCCAAAAGCTATATTTGTATTCATGATATAACCTTCATTATTATGTATAATAAAACATTTATATTTGAATCTGTTTCATTAATATTGTGAAGAAAAGCATGACATCACTATTATTTTTTCCCGTTGTCCTGTGATTAATTCAAGCCTGACCTGTGTGAGCGCAGGTAGCCTCGTGTTTAGTATGGAGGCTGTAGTCCTCCAAGCAGGCGGGCCGCCCGGGTTGCATCAGACCTGTGGCTCATTGCCAGTCCTCTCTCTCTCTCCTGATGTCTGCCTCTATCCACTGTGCTATCTCTAAATAAAGAGATATAAAGCTGACTTACACAATCTCATAGAGCAGAGAATGTATGCAGAATCTGCTAGTCTTCTTGCATTGCATTCTGGGATATTATTAACATTTTTGATGTCAAAAATCCTAGACTCTGTGTTTGTTGTTTCTAAAATTCCCCCCCTTTTTCTCCTCCCTCACCTTTAGCTCATCAGCTTCATTATCATCATCTGCTACGCTGCCTCTCACTATGGAGGCTACTCCGCTGTTGCCATCTGCGAAATGATCTTCTCCATGGTCTTCTTCGGTATCTTCATGATGGAGCTAGACAAGCAGATCCAAGTGGTCAACTGGGTCTGGACCGTGAGTCCTTTAAGTGTCTTAACATGTAATCTTACACAAGCCTACCTAGTGTGTTCCTATTTGATCAATCTAACATCTTCTGTGTCCCTCTTTTGTGCAGGATCTTTTCCGTGCTGGAATTGGCGCTGTGCTCTACATCATCACCTCTCTGATCTGCGTGATTGGAGGGGCCGGGGACGGCGCTCGTATCGCAGGCGGGGTAAGTGAATGAATGAAACTCAGCTTTTATTGTTTGTTTTGACAACCACGGACACAGATTATTGATGTGGGGGTGGATTTTAGATTATTTAACATGTTTGATAAGACACAGAGACTTTAGGGAAGGAACTCAGTCACTGTTGAGTAATATTCAAACTGTGTCTCACACTTCCTTCTTGTTTCAGTCCAGTGAGTAAACACCTCAGCAAAAAGTTTCCTGTGTCAAACTAATTTCTTCAGTTTGAGACAAAACTCTACAAATGACACAGCATCTGCATGTCCATTGGTTCAAGGAAACCTTCGCCACAGGTTTTCAAACAGAGTTGGTTTCATGGCAACGACAAACAGGATGCTCTTAGTTTCAGAGATAAGTGGCAGCAGGATGACGTGATAAAGCTGATGTCTTATTAGAGACGGATGTAAACACAGTAACCATTAATCCAAACAACGGAGTCTGAAGTGTTCAGGTAAAATAAAGTGCTTCACAAAAGAGGCTACAGAAATATAAAACAGGAAAGCACAACACAGGAAAAAATTAAGGAGTTAAAAGCCCAATATTTAGTTAATATTATATTACTTTTATTATGATTTATTACATGTATTAACCAACCACATGGCATTTCATTTGGGCAGTGAAATGATGATTATTGTGTTTCTGATCCTTGTTTCTCAGGTGTTTGGTTTGATCGCTGGCCTGCTGTTTGGTTATGACACCTACACCATCTTCCAGCAAATCAAGAGCACCAGGCAGCACGCGGCAGCTTCCACCGGTTAGAAAAGAAAACAGATTTTACTCTAAACTTCTGCTGTATGACAACAATATGCCTCATTCTTAATGCATTATTTTTTATTATTTTTTTATTTACAGATGACAGAGTTTAAACACAACAAGATTCAAGAACGCAGCAGAGGTGGAGCAGTTTTTTTTTTGCGTCAAAGGTTAATGAAAGAGCGGACAAGAGGAGACGATGGACAGTCAAACGGACAGGTCACATTTTATTCAAAGGCAGTGTTTGGTGGGGACACATTTTTTTTTTTGTGTGCAGGGAGACATAGTGAGAGTGAGTGGTACTGTACATCTGTGCCTCCTACATCACTCCAACCTCAACGTACCACTGATTCAAAAAGGGAAAACTGTAAATACTAAAGGCAATGGTTGATGTCACCCAGCAGCTTGTCTGATACACGTCTACTGTTAAAGGACTGCTGTAGTGAGTAGTAACTGTGTCGTTTGGACTTAAGAAGTAACTGACACATGAATGGGTGCTTTATGGATTATTTAACATTTATAATGCATTTTGGCAAGTGTTTGTCTGTCTTTTTGGAGAGGTTTTTAAGATGGTCAGACATTTCCTTCTATGTAATTTAATTAAATCTCCTCAGATTATGCTCGCTGAGTGTTGCCGTGCCTACAGTGCCTAATCACTTCCTTCATCCTTGAATTGGCCTAATGTCATTGATAAACAATCTTTTAGCTTTCGTTTCACTAGTCAGAGTTTAATCTGTATTGTAGATGTCCATTAACCATCACACACATGCCAATTATTTGAATTACAGTGTCATCCTACAGTTTCTACTTTAATTCTTGCTCAGGTTGAAGTTGTCTTTTTTTTTTTCTTTTTACATGTTTAACACATTTTTATGGTGCAAAACATATTCTGTTGAGAGTTTATACAAGTGGACATTTTTTTTAAGTACATGTTGATATAGAAGAAGAAACATTTCTAAAGATAAAAATCACATAGTTGTAAAATATTCTACGTAAATATCACATTATTAAAACATTCTGTAACTGTTTCCTCTACCCTTTCATGGTTGTGTCCAATGAAACGTTGCCTTATTATCATTTTTTTTTCCTAACATGCTGAACAAGAGTCTGCAGTTTGTAACTTCAGATTTCAAAGCAGCCTTGATTTTGGAAATAAAAGCCATTTTTATGACAAATAAATGCTTATTTTGTAGCTTACATTGTTCACATATCTTACTCACATGTTTAATATTCTAAAGGATGTTGTATTCATAAGGAACTTCATTTTAGCAGGTGTTGATAGAAATATGAGTTGTTACTTTTCTAGATAACCACTAGATGGAAGCAGACTGCTACTTTTATGAAATGTTTATTTAAAAATGTTCTGTCTCATTAATTAGTAGGATGAGTCTGTAAGAGTATTCACTGCTAAAAAAAAAATGTTATTTTAAAAAAAAAAGAAGAAGCTGTTTCCCATCAGGCTGTTTTTGCACTTTCTCTGCTAGGACTGTTGCTGCCCTTGATTTATCTGTGATCTCTAAACTCATCTGAAATGGTTTTAAAACTTTATATTTGCGATAACTTTGCGTTTATGAAAAGCCTTTCCTACTTTGCTTTGATGCCTTTCAGTTGCGATAATCATTACAGTAAAGTTACCCATGTCATTTGAAAGGCCATTTGTGCCATGCTCATCTTAATCTTAGTCCTTATTTTGTTGCTGTTGCCCGAGCAGCAGGGATAAAAGCTACCATTAACTTCCCCTGTAAACACAGCTGCGTTCATATCTGCTCGCATAAATATTTATACAGGGATATTTATTCAAAAGTTGAAAGTGACCCCTCCCATGCTCTGTATGTGTCTCGACCTGTAAATATTAATCGACTTGATTTAGAGCTGCAGGTGCAGAAATAAAGACTTGAGTGGGTCTGAATATAAATAATAGCCTTGAAGGGATTTCGACATCGTTTAAACGTCCTTTTATCCTAGGTGAAGTGCCGTCCAAACTTTAGGATGGTCTGTTGCCTGTTTCCTTTCTTTCCTTTCCTTTTTTTTTTAACAGCAGAGGTGAACGCCACACTTCGCACAGATACCCAGGCTCATAGATCTTCAAGATAAAAGCTGAAACAATATAATTTTTCGAAAAAAATCATTTTAAGCGCATTGTCTTCACAGTAAAATCTTAAACGCGTATTTCACGGTTGATAATTTATTACTTTTGTTTTTATTCTTTCTCTTGTCAAGAAATATCAAACGGAGGTGCGTTACATTTATTTTTTATTTTTTTTACTTTGAAAGCTCAGCCGGAAGTCACACATTTTGGATACGCTAGCTTGTCATTTGAGTTGCCAAAGTAGTCGGAAGGAGGAGTCTGAGGCAGTATCAGGGTAACATGATGTAGTTAAACCTAAACACAGACTGTGTGACTTATAATATCAAGAAGTCGCTGTTTTTCCCCCCTCTGTTTGGTTGGAAACTAATTCGTGTTTTTGACATCCAGCCGACGTCATGTTCCTGCGGGGGTCAAAAAAGCGACGGTCTAACCGCTCGGTGAGTCTGTCTCTCATACATTTATACCTTAATGACTTTAAAAAAACTGAGTAAAGACTTTCAGAAACGTTTATATAATTACATTTAGTGTCATTTGTACGTGTTAAAGCCGTTGTTTGCTTCGCTTTAATAGTGGACCTGAAGTAAACTTAAGTAAATCCAACACAGAAAACAGCTCGAGCGGAACTTTGTCCCACCTCCACCTGGCTTTTGTTTCGGAGAATTGTCTTCGTTCAAAAGCCTCCCCCCCCCTCCCCAACAACTAAGAAACTTTTTTTATTTTCTACGTCTTTATGAAGCATTGTGTGCTTTAAAAAAGTCTTCATTTTACATTCTTGTTGTGTTAAGTCATTTCTGGCGCCCCAGGTAGTCAGGAGGGGTCCGACTAACAACTGACGTCATAGATTTCTTTTTGATTTTTTTGATTTTTTTTTTTTCTTACCTGGATAAGTTTTGGTATCTGCAACCTCAACGTGTTTATCACCATTGTCAGGTTTTCATCACAACATCAATTGATGCTCTGTTAAATTATTGGAGTTTTGCCCAAAACACAGACTAATCTGAGCAGATTACTGAACAAATGAAGCTTGTTTTCGGACCAGACGAACAGCTGTGCGGCCATGAAACATCTGGCTCTGCAGCACACTTGGAATACATCCAGACAGTGACTGTGAAGACTAACAAAAATATCACCACGCTGCTTCTTGGTAGATTTAACTTTAAAGTGGTCTTGCTGCAATACTGTGTCGACAAAGCAACCCGTCATCACATATTGCATGCTCTGTGTCATTTAGTTTGACTATAGTTGTTAATGTAGATCCTTCAATGTAACATATCCTTTCTGTGAGTGCATTAGCAATATTTAAACACCCAAGAAACCTGTTCCCACCCAACACAAACAATAACTACACTCAAGTGTTAATGATCATCAATATTTGATGCAACACTCCATTACAACAGCACTTGATAAATGAGTTTAGCATCATGTTACAACACAGATGTTTACAAGTTCAAGGTGGACCGAACTGTACACACTTGAGTGAGCTGCAAAACGACTTGCAGATTGTTAAAGCAGGGACTACATTGAGTTATTTTCTCTTTGTTGTGGTATTGAGATTATATATATAATCTTGGATTTGATTTATGAATATACAGATTAAATGTATTCCCCTTCCCGGAAACTGTACTACTATTGAGTTATGTAATTTTGTATTATAATCTGATTGTTGTGGCTGAATGAAATGATGGATGTCTGTAAAGTACCTGCTCCCAACATAGTAACAGTGATTTTATTTTGTACCTCTTTTTCTTTTTAGTAACCCACTCAAATTAACAGGTTTTTTACACAAAACATTTGAAGAAGTATCACAATTAAAAGCGTCACCTTTGAATAAACCTTTGCTCCACCACAGCCATAAAAAAATATTTCTACAACACCATTTCCAGCTACTCTGTTTGACACATTTAGTTATAAGAACTAGACAGCCTTGGTTCTGAGCAACATCAGGCCCTATATGAACTTTATTCATGGTTTCTACAGAAGGAACTTCGTCAGTCCATGTTTTTCACAAGAAGTTCATTAAGTGAGTGTTAAACAGAAGCACAGATGTAGAGACTGCAAGAATAACATAACATAAACATTACAAATTTGATAGTGTCCTGCTTTGGGTTTTAAAGATACACATTAGAATAAGACCTAATAAATCCTGCAAGAGGGAATTCAGTGTTACACTCTGGACATTCACTAATGGAGAGATGTCAGAGTGAGGGGGCTCCTGCGCTTGTTGGAGGGGGTGCCTCGCTCAAGGGAAATTCGGCAGTGCTCAGGAAGTGAACTGGCACCTCTCCAGCTACCAGCCCAATTTCCAGACTTGGTCTGCACCAGGGCTTGAACCGGTGACCCTCCGGCTCCCAACCCAAGTCCCGATTGCCACCTCAAAATTGATCAATGTATGGATTCAGTGATCAATGATTCAATAATATTTTGATTCATACCCACAGTACTGCCAATGTAAGTGGCCATTTTCACAGAAAAAATAGACTTGTCCTTATTTTCAGAATCCTTGTGTTCTAGATCATCTGTCATGGAATGAAGCCCTCGTTAAGGTCATTAGCAACACCTGTGTTACTCCAACAAGGCCCTGTTAAACCTTATTTTTTTAAACATGTTTAAACTTTTAACAGCGCTACCACAGATATAACTTCTGTTTAACCCTCTTTTTTTGGTAAACCCTCACCGTTGTTAAATGTTGTTCTTTAAATTGACCTGTGCAGTATATGAAGCAGTGATGCGTAAACCATAAGAGCAACAAGAAGTGTTGTAGCACAGAGCGACACGCCTGCAAGCTGTCTGTTTGATCCGGTCCAGTTAGGAGAGGTGCATTTAACCTGCATGCCAAGGCAGCAAAGGCCCCTAACCTCTGACCTCTTCTGTTAATGTGTAACCCCTCCCACGCCACAACATTTAAGCAGGAGAATGACAGTTACTGTCTCCTGGTAGCAAGGTTAAGAAAATATCTCTATTTAAGCGGTTAAAGTGCTTATTTCCTACCTTAAGAGCACCTATCTCTTAGCATTTATTCTCCCACTAATGGCACATCTACATATGTGTATAAGTGATTCTCTGATGTTATTGTAAGTAATCACTGACTGAAAGATAAGAGTCACCTTCTGAAGTGAGATAACAAAGCCGGCAGACTTTCAGTTTGTCCATTACCTGGTAACACGGTTACTTGGTAGCAAGAAAGAGCTCAAGCAAACCAAAGCTGTGATGTGATTATAACCTTGTACCCACTTAGTGAAAACAAAACAAAGCTGATATGAAAGTCCAACACTGGGCTTGGTGCGAGCATGTAAGCTGATTTGAACTTGTGAGTGCATTATTTGATTTACCCACACTTAGTTTAGAAGAAACTTCCTACAACCACTCCCATCACATCCTTCACGGTTTTCAGCACAATAGACAAACTTCATTGTCATTATCTTTTGTGGGGCACTGAAAGGAAACACATACACGAAACCCTCAAGTCACGGTGTGGCCTTGACGTATAGGACACTGTCATCATGATAAGGAAACGTATGGGAAATATAAAACTGTGGCTAATGTTCAAGGTTATCTTTTCTGTTGTCATCAACACTCAGTCAATAAAAAGTAGATCAAGGCCCCTTTTTAAAAAAAATACCTTTATTTAAAGATGGGATGTTTTTTCCGTCTACCAAACAAATTCTGTATATTTTGTCTTTATTAAAATCGGGTAAATTAGGCAGAGTGTAACCAAGGCAAACTTTTATGTTGTGAAACTCTCGAGGATGATCTGTCGTGGTCTGTTATCTTAGCACATATTGGGCCTAAATACTTAAAGTGATGTTTTTCCCAGAATTTCTAATCCTTCATTAATTATTGCCTCATTCTTGCTTCACTCTTAATCACTATCTGCCCCTAATCGAGTGAGCATCCATCCAGGCTGTGATGAGGAAACCCTTAGGAGATTGGAGTATGTCTAAATCACCATGCTGAGTTTAATCTGATGTAAACCGACCTACCACTCATCAAACTTCCAGAGTTAATTGGGGAGAAATCCAAGCACAGAAGCTGGGTATACGAGGGCAGAGATTCAGTGGGCTTTAATGCCAAGTCAAACCAATTATTCTTGGAGGAAATTTTTTACATTTTCAATAGAAAACCTCAGGGCATAAGAGTCTGTCTGTCTGTATGCCTGCCTGCCTGTCTCGAAAAAAACATTCAGATGAACCTTTTATCCAAATAGCTGGTGATTAATTTGACCCTTTTAAACTAATAGACTACTTGTTGTAGATTTAATATAATATCTACTAGTTTGCAGTAGGTTTTATTTGTACTTGATCTCAGTCAACAAAATTGCCTTCAGACCAAGTAAGGCTTCACATATAAAAACCAACAAGCAGATAAACGAGTACCTGAATGGAGAAAAAGACAGTGTTTCCAGTGTCATGAACATATCAGGTGTCATTCCATACATTCACTCTATGAATGGAAACTCAGTTGCACCCTGCGGTGCCCTGAAGTATAATCACCTCAGGTCGGCTGAAGTTTAGTTTTATTCTTGGTAACATAAAGGATTATAGTGATAAATTTGCATGTCATAGTGTGTGCCTTGCTGGCTCAGCTCAGAGGAACAGCTGATGTACTAATTTCTTAGAAAATAAACAAGTGAAAGGTCCAGTCCCCTGGAAATCCTCTGCTTGCTTCATTTAGCCTGTCTTGTCATCTTTCATACCTGGCTCAGTCAGCAACAAAGTGAACTAAAGTGGCCACTGAAGTCTGTATAGAGTATGAAGGAGACAGATGACACATCACAAAGTGAGACATTTAATAACAGCATGTTAATTATAATTTACTGCCATTGTGGGACTATTCTGGACTAACTTGTTTATGTTCCCTAGAATCTGGATACAGTCATCATGGCAATGATCTTCATCCTGGATTCATGTATCTATACTCACAAGGGAAAATTATCATCTTAAAAAACACACACACAGAAATTTTTAATGTTGAAAAGAACAAGAAAAAGCTTCTTATGGCCTACGTTCATGTACTGTATCTGTATTCTGAATGTATTAGTAAAACAGATTTTTTTTAAACCTGAAAAACATTACAGCCCTCAGATATCTGTCGAATAAGTCTAACAATCTGTCATACTTTAATCAAGGTAATGAGCAGCGGAAACTTGATATGTTTGTTAGGAACACTTCATGGGGAAAACAGGCTCAACGTGAATACTGATGTTTTGGTGGTTAGAGCTGTTGTCTTAATGAGGTGTGTGTGGTTGGAAAAAGAAAATCAAAACACAGCTGAGCAGGTATGCACAGGTACTCTGTGAATCACATCTGCATTTTATTGCTTTGCTCGTTAAACTCTGTTAGCCTCCCCGTACATGCACAGCACAGCGTTCTGCATCTTTATGTGCAGGTTGTTTATGTGCTTGAGAGGAGCGACTAGAGAGAGTAGAGTTTGATTCATGTGGATAAAACAAGTACAACAACTTAGTATCAGCTTCAGCTAAATCATTGTTAAATGTTTCCTCATCCAAAATGTATTCTTAACTCCTGTTATGGAATGGCAGTTTTGCTTCTGGGACAGTAGCCAGTTTGCAATACAGATAAAAGTGGAGACTAAAAATCCTGTCTGAGAAACCTGTAGACGTTCATCTGTGCCAAAAATCTATGTTAAATCACAACAATTAATTTTTTTTTGCTCTATCTGAAACAGACAGTGAACATTACAACCAACTTAGCATTTTTCTTTCAGATTGATAGAGAACAAACACTCCTTTTCAATGAAAAGTTCTGCTGCCTTTGACTTTTTTCTGTAATTACAATAACTTCATTATCTTTGGCAATTTAAAGGAATTATTTGTGGAAACTATTATAGTGAAAATAGTTCAAGTTATCATCATAAAAAAATGCTTGTTGCAGCCCCTGTAGACAGAAAAGGACTTGAGGCACAACTAAAATAAGTGCACCGAAAGTGACTGCATGGAGAGGGAAAGGGTGCAGCTCTCATCCTGTGTCTGCTTCCTTCCTCTCATCCTTTAAAAGAGGCCTGTTTCTGCAGCCTATGGTCCACACACACACACACACACACACACGCACACTAGGCTGCAGGAATTGAACCAGAACTGAGATATGAGGTAGTTGGTGTAGTTGCAGTTGGCAAAGTCAGATGCATAACTCAGCACTTTAGGGAAAGTGTATTCCTCAGATTTGATTCCACTAGTCACTGCTTCACACAGTAATGCATTGCTTCAAAACTCATTGTTGAACATAACTGAGGCTAAGTTTCAGGGTTGTACATGCAGACAGGTTTACCAAAGGGCTAATTATGTCAAATACCACACATCCTTTACTGTACTTTGTGTATGAAGGTCGCTTACGGGTTAAACGCCCACTGTAAGATATAGTCCTCACTCCTTGTTGCTGCATGGTTTTTGTCAAACAAGAATAAAGGAGAGATTACGTGACTGATAATGTGCAACACTTCTTATGGATTAAATCTTTCATATATAATCTATAGGCAGCCTTTATGTGCATTCGGCTCGTGGCTTTAATGGATACACTACTGACTGACTCTCTCAATATGATGTTGATGTTTCTGCGGCCATGTCTGGCCATTGTACGTGCTTATTTTATTGTTTTAACTTTATTGTCTTGCGCCAGAAGGCGTGAGTGCTACTCCATGGGAAATAATATGAGCTGAAGAGAGTTTGTGTTGTGTTTTCAGCAGGAGGAAGAGGACCCAGACAGAGGGCAGCCCTGCATGCGCTGTGGGGATCAGTGCCCTGGCTTCCGTGTCCACGGCTGGAGGTATGAACCTTGGAGCTCTTTTAAACATTAAACAGTGCTGCCTAACACCTCAGCAGGAAATGTTTGTCTCAAACTTTATATTACACCTTCTCCAACTGCTTTTTGGACATCACACAACTTCAGATAGAAATAATCAACAAATCAAGAGGTCATTTTCGGGGGTGTTCAGATTTGTCCAAAGGGGCAAATGCCATTTAATTCAAACATTTTCTTTTTTTTAAATTCCAGTTTTTGTCTATTAATAACCGATGTTGAGTCTAACTTTTTCCTGAGCTGATGGTTAGATACTGTTGGCAGCTAGCAGAGAGGACAAAACATATATAAGAAATGAAAATGACATGCAGATTTTTTTTGTTTTTGGAAGTAGCTGCTTAAAGACTATGGACGTAATGTAGCCATTGTGCTATTTCTGGCATATTTACATTGGCGCGTGTGATAGGTTAATAAATGTGCACTTTCCTAATTCAATCAATTCAACCAATTAAATATGTCTGATGTGTTAACCAGAACCAGGCATTTTTTCTACTTTTTTAGATAGATATATCGATAGATAGATACTTGATTAATCCCCTGGGGGAAATCCAGGAGTGTCCCAACAATTCCATTGAATAGTTGTTTAAGCAATGATAGTTCGGGACACAAAGCATGTCACCTCATGTCTTAGTAAGGACATCAACATGTTACCAACAGAAATCAGCTTAACAGTAATCTGTGTACACCATGAGTGCAGATATACATTAAGGGACAACAAACAAGACCCAGTCAGGACACCACATGACATCCACAGAGCGGATGTAAAGACTCAGAGCTGTAGATTCATGAATGCCATTAAGCCCTGACATCTGCAACGGATGCAGCAGCGTTAAGTTTACATTATCTTCATGTGAAAACAGAAGCACAACAGAACTACAGGATTACAGAGTGACAGCCAACACGAGTCTGAGCGTCAGCAGTTTAAACTTCAGACCTCTTGTGTGAGGTACTATGATAAACGTAAGGTATTCTATTTATTCTGTGTTTTCCTAAAACAAATAAATAATTTACATATCTCAAAAGATACATTTTATAAAACCATGAAATCATATTTTACCAGTAGTTTGGAACTGATTGTTTTAAGCCCTCTAACTTGAAACAAATGAAATGTATAATGTGACAATAAAGTGACAGGCTTTGTCATATCAGTTACTGTATACCTTATGTGATACAACAATATGTATATTTTACTTAATGATAAAAAGAATAGATTTATTGTGTTTTTTCAAATGTGTCAACTAATATTTAAGTAGTTTTATTTGAGTTGGCATTAATTGATTGATTGATTAATGTAACTGGCAGTATCAAATGGGGCATTAATATCATTATGTATTGTCTGCGGGCCCCTGACTGCAGTACCAGCAAATATTGTGCCTTTGTCAAAAGAACTGATCAAATGTCAAATCGAGATCTAACAACTGATTATTTTCTGTATCAGAGTTTCATCCGCATCAAGTTTTTAAGAACACATTGGCGAGCTCTGCTGAGTAGAAGGATGAGTGTCTAGTAGGATGACTGACCGTCTTGTCTTTTTGTGTGTTGGAGTCTTTCTTGTTAAATCACTTTCAATTCTTTCAATACCTTGTTTTTAATCAAACATCATTGCCACTTGAAACGTCCGTACACACCTCTTACGCCTGCATGTTGAGGACTTGTTAACGGCTGTCAGTGGCACAACAGTTTACTTAGTTCTGTTAAGCAGCTTCTTGCGTGCTTTCATCTGAGCCCTCTTATTCCTTTCTCACTCTCTCGCTCTCTGTCCTTTAGTCCTTTGGTGAATATCCAGCCGGTTAGTCTAATCCTGTCAATCACGCTAATAAGATTAGGCCTTACTGCTGTGATAGTAACCCTCCGGATCACTTATTACCTCCCTCCATCTCCCTCTTCCTCCTTTACACTGCTGCTGTCCTTTATCAGAGTGTAAGATAAAACATGTATGGAATAACTACCTCCAAGTACATAAAAGTAGTGTTGTTAAGAGGGGAAACAGCTTGGACGGGGGCTTTAAGATCCACTTTATTAATGTCATTTCTCTGTGTACATTGAGTTTTCTTCAGTGGCTCCAGCCTACAAGACTGAACATCACAATACCCAATTTTGTAGCACAAATAGATATATGAATAAAAAAAAGGACCAAGATGTATTTCTGTTTACAAATCATGCTTTCACAGTCCCAGATGGGCACTGCCTTCATGTCTGAGGATGATTGTGGTTCAGTGCAGAGAGAATAAAACAAAAGGCACTGGAATGCGTGCTGCATGTAACCAAGAGACTGTAATTGTATCTTTGAGCTTTTTCAATTCTGTTCCTTCTATTCAGGTCAAGACAAAAGCTTCGAGTTGGGATGTAATCTAAAACACGTGCGCTGCTCTTAACCTACAGCCATTCTGTGCTCTTAAGTCTGGTCCAGGGACGCATTGATCTGTTTACAGTAGTTTTAATCTGTGTTGTTGCAAAACATTGACGGTGGCTTATGGGAGGTTTATGATAATGTGGCTGGAGGACAGATTTTAAATGTCTCTTGGTTGCCGTTAAAATAGAAAATGTCTTGTTTGGGCATTTCAAGTCTCTTAGCTGATCCAGAACAATGAGAGAACATGAAGGTGATTAAATGATTGAGATTTATGGGGGTCAGTCTTCAAGACCCCAGAGTCTGCCGCTAATTGCATCTCCCTTAATAACCAATTTAGAGTCACACCTTCCCGATGGAAAAGGAAGATCTGAGTGAGCACAGGCTGAGCTGCTGAAGCTGCTGAGAAGGAAGTGATCCATCTTCATCCTGAGCTCTCTGACTCAGAGCTCAAACTGAGGCGGGGGGCAGATGGTGCTTCCGCTGCCCAGCAGAGAGCGAATTGAGTTACTTTTGACCCGCAGGTCCCCACCACGCTTCAAAAATTGTTCAAAGTCGCAGGCTCTATTAGTCTGGGTGGCCATGCGGCAATTACTCAGTCCCTAATCAGTGGCAGAGAGTTTGAGGACAAGACCCATCTGTTTGTGAGAATCAGATCTGAGGAGGGCTTCACTATCCCTTCTGCAATCAGCCTCAGTTAGAGATTATCACACCAGCAGCAGAGGATTATCTTATGGCTGCTACACTGGATACCCCGTCAGTTTTAATAGCTATATGCTGACCTACAATAATGACTTATATCTTAAACAGTGGTCTCAATGGACTGTTTTAATGTCTCAAAACGGCTCTATGGTCTTTGTATGATCTTTAAGTTAACTAACCATCTTTAAAAATATGGAAAAGGAAAAGTGAATCTTCTCAAAAAAACAGAAGGTTATAAATTCCAATCACTTGCTTTACTTAAAGTGCACAATGAAAAACTTCTAAGTTATCTATTTTAAAAGATTTAGAAAGCTTGATATTTTGCTGGAAGAAGAGAAGTTGGACATTTTTCTCTTTGTAAAACTATTTTTAATCAGTCCCTGTTCAAATCTTTTATCAACTGAAAACAAATGTGTGGACCATCATTTCCATCAGGGCTCTCTCAACTACAATGCTGGAGTTGTTAAATCGGCTAAAAATGTGATTAAAACTGAACTAAAACTTTAAAAGTAACATGAGACAACAGTAAGTGCAACTTAAAGAGCATCCTGCATCATCCAGAGAACACATATCCTCACCGACTGACCAAAGCCAGATGAGCTGATGCGAATTCAGAGTCGTGTCGTGACTTTAATAAAAGTTTAAAGTCACGCTGCCTGCTGGATATTCCACCAGAGACACTCTGCTGTCATCTTGATCGTAGAATATGACAAATCACTGCACAGCACGGCATTGCTCATAGCCTCCAAATCTGCTCCTCTTCTTTCTATGATTAATAACTGCATCAGAGCAACAATTGTCCATCTGTTATGAATCAGTCAGAGCAGTCTGGTCGGAGGAGAAAACACACAGTGTGTTTACTATTCTTGAGTGTCACGTGTAGTTTCATATCTTTAACGGACGCCGGAAAACATCGCCCGGCTTAATTAAGATATAAAAAAGAAATTCATCCTGTATGCATGCTTTAGATGATCTTTTTATGTTAATTTAAACATCTCATGTATCTTGAGTGTCTGTGTTGTTGCGTTCAGCGTGGCAGAGCCTTTTGTCTGAGTCCGCAGTCAGCATGGAGGAGGGTGGGAGTCGGGGGTGGCCGGGACAATAAAAGAGCTGAGCAGACAGAGAAATCAGCACATTGAGAAGGAGCTGCCATACAACATCCTGCTCTCACTGACAGACAGGCTGACAGGCAGGCAGTGATAGGAACCTTCACTGTTCCAGAGGAAAACAAGTCTGGATGGCACCGCTTCAGCAGGCCAGGCTGGACTAATTTGTCATGACTACAGCAGGTACTGAAGAAACTATATTTTACTCTCTGACAGGATTAGAGGGACAGGAAAGTCAAACAGCCATTAAGTCAGGAGATGTGGGCAGACTAAGGGTTGTGTGCGTATGTGTGTTTAGATTCCTTTTATCTTTCATAGCCTGACTTGAGGTTGTTTAGTACACATAACTGTGAGAACTTCAAGAGTAGAACATGATGTCATGTGCAGCTGTGTTATTACTCACCTCTGTGGACATAGTTAGTGCCTTTGATTTATTTAAAAAAAGGAATTGAAATTTACTTTATGGGAGATGCCTTTTTTTTTTTTTTAAGAATTTATAAATGCAGATGAACGACTGTGTTAAAATTATTACAAAAATTAAAGCTAATTATACTGCTGGATTTCCAACAGTTCAAATAACTTTATTTAAACTTCATATTTTGTCAATATTTTTTGCCAATTTCCGTTTTCTTTTCCGTCAGCATGGCTGAGTTACGATGCGATACACTTTTATCACCCTGTGGGTTAAATTTGTCTTGGACTCAAAGTGCTGCCAAACATTCTGATGCTTCCACTATAATCAATAAACACAAAATCAAAATACAATAGATAAACACTTCCACATGTGAACAGAAAGGAACATAATGCAAAAGAACACAACATATATTGCACATTGGTGACACTACTGTTAGCTGACATGGCCTTTCCTCTATGACCTTCACCTGCCTTAGTACAGAGTTACTTTATGTTTCCTTATAATTATTGACGACCCAAATAACACTAGCTGTATCAGTAGTCTCTGAAACTGTTTTGTTAAGCACAGTAGATTTCGAGGCAGATTGTTGATTCTGGTCCAAAGAAGCATCTGTTCTGTGTCTGCTGGTTGATAACACATGACATGTTTTGGACTCGTTTGCTTTGTTTTTATTTTTTTCTGGACCACACAGATTGAATTTTGTTCAGAAAATGATGATAAAAATATAATTTAATGTGTTAGCATTTTTATTGACACACCCCCAGTAAGGTCTCATGGGTCGTCCCTCGCAGTGAAAATGTGATCTCAACATGTCCAATGAATTTGATAATCATCACAATATGCTTCAAACTTTTAAAGAATGTAACTAAAATCATTGTAACAACTCAATGTCATTTTGTCAAGAATGCATAGGGCTAATCTTTTTTTGTGAGCATTGTAAGTGGAAAAAAAGTCAAACAACATAGATGATTAAAAAATTAAAACTGAATCAAAAGAGGAATGTACATTTAAGCAATATAGACAGCTTTTCATACCTAATGAACACAACTTACATCTGTTTTAAATAAATTAACTGACTCTTTACTTAACTTTTTCTTTTGTCTAAATACAATAGCTGACACTAATGGTTTTATGTAACTTGTTTTGTTGAACAACAATCCTCGTCTCAAAGTTATTTAATTCACAGCAGAGAAAAATCTGAAAACACTGTAATAACAAAATCTGCTTAAGAAGTACTTTAGCAGTTAACTGCTCAAGTATAAAGTTTCTTCTTTTTATACATTAACAGAGCTGATCGCTTATCGTTAACTACGTAGTCTTAATCATAGTCTATACATGTTTCCATCATGAAAGTATCGCTAATCTAATTTTCCTCATTTGGAACTTTCTTTGAATTGCTTCGACCCGTCAGCACTCAGTTCGTGCAGAGCCGCAGGGGATAAAGTCTGGTTGCATTACATCAGCAGCTTGTGACTCTAATAATTGAACAGGACGGGGCTCAGCGCAGCAGGACTCAGTAAATTGTGGTGATGAAATGTTCTGCTTTTAAGTTTCACTCAGTCAGGGTTTTTAACTACCGCCTGCCAAACAAAAGACAAGTAGAATGGTTTCCCATAATGTGTCATATCATACACTATATACTTTTGGTGTGCTGATTTGCTCCTTTTTGAGTTCAGCATGTTGTCTTTTGTAAATAAAGTCCCTGTGGTTTAGGTTATAACTATAGACTGTAGAGTGCAGGGACATGGTCTGAGGGACATTACTCGTTGGTTTCTGAAGAGGCGTTATGAAGCCCAGTGATGGCTGTTGCCATATTGGAATAATCTACTATCTCAACTTAACTTTCCATCAATCTCAAAAAAAAAGGAAAAGAGATGACAGTCAGGCGGGTCTTAAGCCTCCAGGCAAACAGCTATAAGGTGTCCACATGTTAGTCAACTCAGACACTCCCCTAGTTACGCAAAGTTATGATTAAATCTTTAGATTAATAAAATCAAACCGGATCAGTTATTTTTTATTTTAAATCATCCCCCGTACAATGTTATTGTTTACCAATAATGAAATTAGCTATTAATTTTAACTTAACTTTATTGAACCAGGCTGTTCACATGTTTTGACTTAGGACCCTGGTGGGGATTCCTTGGCTTTAGGAGACAACCTCCAGTGAGCAGAACTGAACTTTTTTTGCTTTTTTTTCCATTGACTTCATTTTTTGTTACCAGAGTTTGCCGCCTGGTTAATGCCAAAGGTTAACTTAAATATGTAGGTGTGTGCACAAACCAGGCTTTTCCACAAATGGTATTTCAGAGCAGCCTGCTCAATAAGAGATTAATTTGAGACTCTGCTACAAACTTTCATACCCTAAAATTCACTCCAATTGGAACTCTCATCTCCCAATCAGGGTATTCTGCATGTGAGGGTGGTACCCCTTCTCACACTTTCGTCATGGGGAGGCTGGTGATTGTGATAATGGTGTATGGGTGGGTGCGTGGGTACTGCTGGGGTGAAACTGGGTGAAATGGTGTTCATCTGCCATCTGTCCCATCAGGCTCGGTCTTCCTTCCCAATAACATCTACAGTATAGGCATCCCCTCCCACTCACACACACACACACACACAAACACCAAGGCAAACACACGCACTGTCACATACAGCTGGGGTCAAATTCATGCCAGCATGGCTTACCCTAAGCTGACTTGCTGTGTTTACTATTATTTGTATTGGTTCTACCGGCTCAGCCCCCACTACTGAATAAGGTGCCAACACATCACAGGACAGCTGGAAATGATAAGCAGACTGACTCGGGCCTGAGAGAGGATGCCACGATCCCATTGTTGAATTACATTGTTGCTGTTTTGTCGACTTTTTAAAAAAACATACTTTTCCTGAGTGACACATGCCGTCTGTCATGTAGGTTATCAGATGACGCTTACATTTTAAAAAAGGGTTTTTTTAATTAAAAAAGGAGCTGTCATGCACTTCACAGTCAGTCGTGTGTGTGTCTGTGTTTGTGTGTGTGTTATAGCTTTTTGCTTGTGTGGGGGTTGGGTGCTGGAATAAAGCAGCTTTGTGCCTCGTGAACTTGAGCCACAAGTGCCAGCTGGCAGGCTGTTATGCAATCCCAGCAGAGATGTACATTTGCAACACATGCTTCATATGTCTCCATTGTCACATCAACACATACATGACACTTGGACCTCACTGTAACCCCGAGGCGCCAACTTCATACACAGTCACACCCACCACCGCTACACTGAATGGGGGGGGAGTCCCGGGACAGGTCGACGGTGTAATTTGAAACTGAAGGGAGATTATTGCTCCCATCTTCACCTCCCTCTCTTAACTGCCAGCAGATTGACAGCCAGCTTATGTCAGTGACCTCATTTTACTGCGCGTTTGGTAGTAGCTTGTTTGGGCTTTGCTGATGACCAGATGCAGATCTAGTGAGATGTTGGCATTAACCGGATCTTCTGATCCGCATAACATCTGTGAGGAGATTGAGTTGACTTCTCTTGTTAACACTTTGCAGCAACAATACATATGGGATAATATGCAGGAAGGATTTCTCCTTTGTAGTCCTCGCAAATCATAGCAGCGATATATTATGACGACCAATAGCATCTTCTGATTTAGAGAGGAAAAAATAACTGAATATTTAAAATCATTTTTTAAATGAAGGATGGCAATCAACAACAGTGAGTTGCTTGTGGGAAGTGTAACATTTGTAAAACAAAATGTCGGAAATTAGTTATTTCTGTGGAAACTTAAGTAGGGTGAGAATCACAGGGTAACTCACGAGAGGATACGATGCTTTATGATACAATATAGTGCAATACCTCATGATACGATATGTGATGTTAGGACCATGATATTGATGATATCACGATGCAGCATTTATTTGAAAATGTATATATTGCAAGACAATCAAATAATGATGGCTCATGATATCTGGTTTTCTATATATGATATATAATATTTATAAAGTTGTATTCTGATTAACTAAAGAAAATGAGAGTGCAGGATTGATGTACTAATTCACTACAATTTGTTGTCAGTTTCATCTTTTAAATCATTTTCATTGCTGTCTGACATCATCTTCTCCTTCATCTTTTACTGTCTTGTCTTCTTTATTGGGCAAAGTAGTAACACTGAGTCAAATTGCCATGGAAATGTATTTATTTGTTATTAAGATTTTGACATATTGCACCAGTGATTCGATTTTTTACCACACAATCAGGGCGAGTAAGGTAAAACGTAACACACAGAAAGTAGTTTCATGGTTGACATCCACAACCCTCAGCTTGGTTTGAATGTGAAGCTTGTTCTAGGATTCCTTCTGTGTTCTGAGCCAAGCAACACTGACACCTATCGTATTGTATATCCTCATGGGGTGAGTTTAAGCAGTTGCTCAAAAATGATAATACTATAGATATTTTTGCTATCCCACTGGTACCATAATGGTTCTTGAGTGAGTCTTCGATGATGGTTTGGGTCCTGGTGTGACAACTGTTGTATCAATCAGTTCAAGCTGTTGCTAGTTGAGTCAACTTCAAGAATGTGTGTGGGCTGGTTTGTGACATAATGCCTCCAACATGATGTGTTCATAAATTGAATAGTTACCACATGTGGGAGTGCTTGTTTGAATGTGTTGTAAAGAGTGTTCACTTTCAGATCCCTACTGCATGGTTTGGTTTTGGAAGCTGGATGTCGACGTCAAGAAATGAAATGAAACTGTTAGAATTCTGTATTTCTGCTTTGTCAAATCCTTCAAATCTTGGTCATAGTTGCAGTTATGCGACTATGGCTTAGTGGTAGAGTCGGCTGTCTCTCAACCAGAAGGTCAGGGTTCAAACCCCAGCTCCTGCAGCCACATTGTATTAATGTGTGTGAATAGGATTAGTGATGGACATTTTACATAGCAACCTCTGCCATCAATGTGTGAATGGGTGTGAATAGGTAGGTGTAACCTGTGGTGTAAATCCCTCTGAGTAATCAGAAGACTAGAAAAAAGCACTTCATTCACCATTTAACACTTGCACCTTGGTACCTTCAGCACCAGGAGAACCCGACTGTACAATGTCTTCAAGTATTTAGCATTTGATCAGCTTTGGCTTGTGCCGTAAATCAATGCTAACGACCCCAGGGATGAAGCCAATCGTTTTCTTCCTTGTCTCCACAGAAAGATTTGTGTTCACTGCAAGTGTGTGCGAGAGGAGCATGTCGTGCGTTCAGTGCCGGGCCAGCTGGAAAAGATGATGACAAAGCTGGTATCAGACTTCCAGAGACACTCCATCTCTGACGACGACTCAGGCTGCGCCTCAGAGGAGTACGCATGGGTCCCACCTGGGCTCAAGCCCGAACAGGTAACAAACAAGTGCAAGACGGGACAGAAACGTAATGCTAGATAGGCAGGGATCATGTGTTCTTCCACTTATACATGTTCATGCATAGACTCAAAGAACTTTATAACCTTTGGAAAGACATATTCACTTTATGATTTATGATGGTAATTGAATAAATTGCTCTTTAAATGCATAAAGTGTTATCTGCACTCTGTCATTTAGGCCTTTATGTGAGCATACTTGTCTCCTCACACAGGTTTACCAGTATTTCAGCTGCCTGCCGGAGGACAGAGTGCCTTATGTGAACAGTCAAGGAGAGAGATACCGAATCAAACAACTTCTGCACCAGCTCCCGGCCCACGACAGCGAGGTAACATCACTGTGAGATGTGCTGTAACAGTGGGGTGTAACGCTCAATACAAACCTTCAGTCTAATATGTTGGCTTAATCACAAAACACTTTGTACTTAAAATAGATTATAATTCATGGGGAGTTTTCTATAATTGTTAAAATGACTGCCATTTTTCGAAAAAGTTAATTAAAGTCTGGGCCTTCTTGACTTTCTGCATCCAATGTATTCCACCCATTTCAACAAATATGCGGGGCCTCGTGTACCATTATACAATAATTATCTCATACCTTTTATCGTTAAAAGTTAAGAGAAGTTTACGTGGTGGTCTATACAAATGTCTGCGTTATTTATAACCATCATTGTGATTTGTATGATGGTCTCACTTTTTTAAGCAGTCTGAGCAGACATGCACAGTACTTCACTGTATCTACTGATCTGACTGCTCTTATCAGTTCTCTCTGTTCCCTCAGTTTGAGGCTCGACTGGAAGATATCATTCTGTTCAACAGCTCCTTTGTTTAACAGGATTTATAGCCCTTGACTCTGTCAGGGCTCCTCCTGCTGTCTTGTTATTTTTACCTTTTGCAAGTCACCTTCGGGTAACAAGTCAGACAAGCAATCCGAGTGCTTACAACACTTATATTTCCTGGTAAACTATATATAATATAATGTTTATAAGACAAGGACAAACAACCTAATAAACTAATATGTAACCTTTGAATCACCAGTGTCTTCAGTGTTTAATGAATGTGGGGTTTTATGAAGGCAACAAAAAAAGAACAAAAACAAAAAGATAAATGATGGCGATGAAAGAGAGACATAGAATGATGGACCCCTCAAACGACCTTGACACAGTCTGCCTACGTGCAAAACATCAGATGAAACTCCTCTGTCCATTTCCACCTCCAGAAAACCTAAAAATAACAAACATCCCTCCGTGTTGTTAAAAGCCAACCTTTTCAATATTTAAATTGATATTTAGGCTTTCATAACATGAGAGTAATTCTGTTGTTATTATTTGAATCAAGTATTTCTCATGTTTTTTGTCTTTGTTCCTTGTTTCTGTGTGTTTGCTTGCATCACTCAAAAGCATTGTTTGTGTTTATTTTTTCTCAATGAATTAATACAATTATTTCAGGGACTACAAATAGTCAGATTTGATTCATCCTAATGCCTACCTCGACTTACTGCCTCACTGGCTGAGGACAAAAAATGAAGTTTTGAAATATTCTTTAATGCCCATGTTAACATGAATCCGTGTTCGTTGCAGCCTCAGTACTGTAACGCTCTGGACGACGAGGAGAAGAAGGAGCTGCGTTTGTTCAGTCAGCAGAGAAAAAGAGAAAACTTGGGCCGAGGCGTCGTCAGACTCTTCCCAGTGACGATGACGGGAGCCATCTGCAAGCAGGTAGAGCAACATTTTAATTTTATGTTCATAAAACAATGCAGCTTTTCTCATGAGGCAGGCGAATGTAAAGCTCAAAAACAACACTATCCTTATATAACATTATTTTATGTTGGTGGAAACCTATTGAAACGTATGCCGAATGCTTTCTTTTTATACCACTGGAACAAGTTCAGGTTCATGTAGGTGCAGGTATAGCTCAGGGGCCACAGCACACAGGAGTTTAATGATTACAGGGCTTTATAAGCAAACTGCTATGCGACCTGCAGAGTTCATCATTTGTTAAAGGAAAAACCTCCTAACTTCCTCCTCCCCCCCTTGCATCAAACCCCCACCCACCCCAACCAAATCTATTTTTCCAGTGCGGCAGGCAGATCTGCGGTGGAGACATAGCTGTGTTTGCCAGTCGGGCGGGACACAGCAACTGCTGGCACCCTCAGTGTTTCCAGTGTGCCTCCTGCAGCGAGCTTCTGGTTGATCTGATCTACTTCTACCAGGATGGACAGATCTACTGCGGCCGGCACCACGCTGAGAGGCTCAAACCCCGCTGCCAGGCCTGTGACGAGGTGACTTGATCACTGAAATCCTTGACCTGTTAATAAGCTTTTATCTGCAGCTGTGTTTTGCAGCAGGTCTCTGAAAGCAAACTAATGAAAGTCAGAGCTAACAATGAAGCTAAGAATCCTCCAGCTTCTTTTTTTTTTTAGATTTTCTTGACTTCTATATTTCCATTCGCTTTCTCTCTGTACCCTTAACATCAGCTTCCTTAATTGAACAAGGCACAGATACCTTGTGAGTGAAATTTTTCAGACAAGTTTATCTTTGTTGAAAGTTCCTTTAATGACTTATCAGGTCAAGTGTTCAAAAATTCCTTATTTTCTTCGACAGTGCAGAGTTTATGGAGGGATATTTTAGAGTTTTCTGTCCACCCCCATCTTTTTTGATCTCTCAATGTGATTTAAGAGATTAGTTGATGTACTTTACTAATGGATTCGGCTCGACTGACCTACAAGAGTTCTCTAGACATGGCTTAGCCTGCAACGTGGCACTGATAGCATCTTTCTTTCTCCATCTTGTTTACCCAAATCCTCAGTACTCATTTTACCAGCCATGGTTTGTTTAGCCCCATGAAATCATAGCTGCATGGCTGAGTGACTCCTCTGTCTCTTAAACTGTCCTCTCTCGATCTCAGATTATTCTGGCGGATGAATGTACGGAGGCAGAGGGAAGATACTGGCACATGAAGCACTTCTGTTGTTTTGAGTGTGAGGCGGCGCTGGGCGGTCAGCGTTACATCATGAAAGAGAGTCGACCGTACTGCTGCTCCTGCTACGAGTCGATGTATGCAGAGTACTGCGACACCTGCGGAGAACACATAGGTACTGAATAAAGTCTCACTTTACTGTCGTTTCTATACTGCTAACAGGGATTTAGAGGCAGAAGAAGAATCTTAACTACTTCTTTGGTGACACTTTTCTTGAGTTCCCACATTAGGCCTTTGTACAAATATGTCTGAGATGATCACAAATGCAGAACAGAAACAATGTTCAAAATATAGACACAGATTTTTCAATTCTGCAGCTGACACATTATTCCCTCAAAATTATTTCCACCAAGGTATCGACCAGGGCCAGATGACCTATGAAGGTCAGCACTGGCACGCTGTGGAGACGTGTTTCTGCTGCGCGCTGTCAGCTCCCTCTGCTGGGGCGTCCATTTCTCCCTAGAGCCGGGCTCATCTTCTGCTCAAGATCCTGCTCGCTTGGAGAAGACCCCAGTAACTCTGACTCGTGTGACTCCGCGCTGCAGAGCAGAATGTCTCAGCACAGGCGTGGTGGGACAGCAGAGAGGCAACAGCAGCCCCAGTGTGGGTCACTACTGCAGCCACTAGAGGGCATCAGTCCTCCTATTACTCCTGCAAAAGACTACATTCACACTGCAGTGGAAAACAGAGGTGATCATGATACATTGGTGTTATATATATTTATATGTAAGTTATACGTCAGGTGATATATTTATTTTTAGAAAGAGTTCTCACACATGTCTCTACACTGCTCCTCTCAGGTGTTCACTGTACTGCTCCAGTGCAAAACGGAGCTCCTTCACCAAGAGGCTCCTACTCCCCTCTTCCACACATTCATCTAGGAAATGGCTTAGGTCCATCTTGGCCCAGTGACCTTCCTCATTACAGTTTACTTCCTGCAGACAGTGGCATCAAACCTCCTGTGGCTGGTCATCAGTTTCAGGCACAGCTCAATGGGAACACTGGACTAACTAGTCTTAATTCAAGAGGAACCTCCACGGCTAAAGACTGCAGGAACTGGGTGGAAAAGACAAATCAAGTTATGCAAGGTATCACTGAGTCTTCCTTCCCTTCAAGTGCCTAAAATCACAGTTTCAATGACTTACAATGACTACATTTTTTTTTTCTAAAATATGATTTTGCTTTCTGCAGTGTTTCCTCCTCAGATAAACTCCCATGTGAACCCCCTCATTTCACCCGACTCCCCTACCCTCCCGCCCAACCCCTCCATCCTGCCTCCTCCTCTGCCCATTAAATCTAAAGACTTGATGCCCCCGGAGTTGTCTCCACCAATCCTTCCCCCACCAGAGATTTGCCCCTCTGATTCTCCACCTCCGCTGACTCGCAGCAGCACAGCCAGAGTCAGCTTCAGAGAGCCGATCAGCAGCAGCTACTCTGTCGACGACGATGAAGATGAGAACGAGGAGGAGCTGCAAGAGGGAGTGGAAAACCAGCAGGATGAAGATCAGGTGGAGGAAGGTTTCGGAAGCAGGTTAAATCTACAGAAAGGCATCCCGCCGCAGATGGATCTACTGGGTAAGAAAGACTAAGGATCTTTTGACATGTGGTATTAACGTGCATCCTTAGTGATCGGAATAAAACAGGACAGGTGCATTATTATCCCTTAATTATGTTTTAGAGCTGATTTGGGACATAATGTGTCCACAAATTTTTCAGCAAAGTGGAAGCAGATATGTCCCGGCTAATGAAGTCTCCATATCCAGAGATACAATGACTTTTAGAACCAGGACGCTTTCCCTTCATTTCTTTAGACTCATGGATCAGAGTGTGTGAATGGGAATGGGGGTAGAGAAAAGCAGAATATGAAGATGATGAGTGAGAGGTAGTGCAAGTGAGTGGGTGAGAGATGTTTACCACACGCATTTCATTGCAGGAAGGTGAGGCTACAGCTGCTTCATGGAGGAGCTGAGCATTTAAATCACAGATGAATCTGTCTTTTTAGTCACTGTTAGCAGATACTCCAGTCTGCAGAGGAATTCCTTCTCCCCCTGATAAACCAAGTAACTGTAGAGTAAGATCAGGCTGATCAGAGAGAGTTTTTTTAACACATCAGCACTGCTGTCTGTAATCACACGCTTCCTCTTCTCAAACCTCCACACAGTCCTCTCTCTTTGCTGCTGGTGTGCATCCTAGTTTTAATCGATTAATGTTATTCAGAATCAAGAGGATATAGGCATTTATCTGCATGTTATGAATTGAGATCTTTTTACAAGTGGTTACCTGAGAAACTTGTGGAAAACCGTTCTAAATACAGGTGTGAACTTTTAGCTGTCCAGTTTAAAACCAGGTGTTAACAGGCTCCTGAAGATAAATTGACATTTTCTTTCATGAAATTTGGGAAATCAAGTAAAATTGAGTTTTTCTTCACTATTTCCATCAGATGGATCCTCTTACCAGCAGCGTAGTCTGAGGCGAGGCTGGAGTCGCAGCCGTGTCCCCTCCGACCCCGCTCTCCACCCGGGACCGGAGAGGCACTGCCATCGCTCGCGGTCCGAGCGCCCTCAGCTGGACACGCTCGATTGGAAAGGTGACAAAGAGAGGGACAACCGGGGCTCTGCCTCATTGACCCTCCACCCTGGCCATTACAAACACGGAGACTCCTGCTCCACCTGCTCCTCGTCCTCAGACTCGGAGGAAGAGGGCTTCTTCCTGGGACAGCCATCCCTCTGCCTCCCCAGCTTCGAAAGCAACCACAGGAGGAGGGCAAGGAAAGAGAGGGAGGGGAGGAGAGGGAGGTGCAAAGAGACTCAGGGCTGAGAGGAAGCTTCAGGCGGAGACGAGCTCACAGTCTGGGTGCAAAGGACAAAGATAAAAACTGTGCTATCTCCTAACCCCAAACACAAAAATCAAAACACGGCTATTGTTTTCTAAATTATGGTGCTCAAAAGGAGCTTATGACCCTCATCAGTCTCATGTTCAGGCTGTTTATCAGTTTTATGATGTAGAGAATCAAACACACACATGCAGACTCACAAAGGTGAACCACAGCTGTTGTTCCTGGAATACGCCTCAGCAAAGGGAAGCACGATAACCCTCAGAGGAGTCACTGCTTGTTATTGTATGGTGCTGACTTACATTGAGTCACTTTTTAAATGTTACAGAGAAGAAAAAGATGTGATGAATAATGTGATGAATGTGGAGTGATTATTGGTAGTATTCGGATTATAAGTGTGAACACAACCGTCACTGAAACGTTTTTTTTTTTTAGCATTACACATAATTTACATATGCAAACTTACAGAAGCAAATGTGACCAGGAACTGACTGCAATTTCCTCTTTCAAGGTTTCTAAAATATGTAAAGCTCTACAGTGACAGACTGTAATCTTTCCTCTTATGTGCGATTAAACAACTGTAATAGAATACAGCAATGAACACTACATGGCCAAATGGGATGGAAAAAAATGCTTTAGCACTGTGGTTGTTTTGTACTGAGGAAATCAAAAAAGGAGAGAACATCTGTTGCGTTTGTTGTATATTCCAAACAAAATACTGCAAAGTATATATACGCATTTGTGTCTTAAAACAGATCAACAACAGAAAACACTTTTACGACCCTAAAGGTCATTTATTTTTATATATTCGTGGTGAGGGGCGCTGTGTTTCTTTGTCTGGGTAAGAGGAAAAGATTTTCATGACCGTTTCTGTTTCTCTTGATTGTGCAACAAAATGTTCTTGTGTTATTAAATGTGTCTTTAATTTGTTTGTCCTGCTTGTGTTCTTTATTGTAAACGTTACACACCCTCAGCATGGACCTTTGAACAGCTCAAATGGTTTCAGTTTGATGTGTGGATGATTTATGATACCAGCACACACCTTAAGTGCTTATCATCCAGTTTCCAACTTTTTTTTTTTTTTTTTTTCACGAAACTTTGTTCAGCAAAAAAAAACTTTTACAATATAACATATAAACACATGGACATAGAATAAGATAACAATAAAACACATACATACACAAGACGAAGTTACATTCTCCATGCTTAAGTTTTCACTAAGTATATCATAGTCATTCAGCAACTTTCATTTCTTTAATAGTTTGTTTTGTTCTTAATGTTTGATATGGTAGTGCCATAATGTCTCAGTTCATGAATAAAGTGCAGGAAAGTTGTTGAATTTTTCGGTTTCCAACTGCCAACACAAAACAAAGGCTGGATTACATTACCAAAAAAAAAAAAGTCAGTGAACATCCTTGTAGGAGAGCGATTGGACCAATCAGGAGGGAGGAGGGCGGGGTTAGCAGGAGCACACATGAGTTGTCAAACAGGTTTGTCTTCACTTTTCGGATACATACTACTCAGCAGGAACAGCACGGTGTGTTCGTGGACCTTACGAAAGGAAAGAAAGAAAGACTCATGAGGTTTACACGCGTGTTAAAGGTGAGTTTTCTGTAGACATGCCAGAGAGAAACACGCACCAGTGTCTTTAAATTACACCTATACATTCAGATCAGCAGGACTGGGCTTGTCAGGACAGGACGTATAGGCCTTGAGTTCATGCGGGACATTTGTGTTCGTTGTTTACCTGCTTCCTTTGTTTCAGTTTCTTTTGCTTCCTGCTTCCACGTTTGTAATTTACTCATAACTGCAGGACATGTTGACACTTGACTCAGAAACGCAAAATTAGAGGCTCTATTTTTGTTTGTCTGACCCTCCTCTTGACATTCCTCGTTGGTTTGTAATACACCAGCCTGCTGCTGCTGCCATGATGACATGTATGTATATATATATATGCTTAACACAATGCTTGTTGCCTTTAAGACCACTTTGTGTCTGGAGCTCTTACAGCAGGTAAGATTGGAGGTACAGAGAGTTTTCACAGCTCCATCAGCAGTTGGTGAAGCTTTGGCTTGGCTCAGACTGGAATTGCAAATATTTGGAGAATGTGACCGGCAGATGCAGAGTGTTCAAACATACACTGTATCTTAAGTGTGTCGAGACTCCAGTTATCAAGTTCATTATCACGACCTCCCAACACCCTCAGAGGAAGATTTCACAACAAAGAAGAATGGGCTACTGGCTGATAACTTTTTTTTTTTGCAAAAGTGACTATAAACTGGTGAAACTGGCTGCTTAATTTAAAGTTAGGAGCCTTTGTCCCCACAGCAGCTGTTAGTGTGTGTGTGATCTGCTCTGTATGGCCTCCAGACAATAGCTTGTTGACAGCTGTACTTGTGCACTTACCCACAACCCCCTAACACACACACACACACACACACACACACACAGAGGCCGTCTACTGACTGAAACTGAAGTGTCAGTTTTATTGTGTGTTCGTCTGCAGAGAGATGGATGACTGCGACTAATTGTTTGAATGTGTCGTTAACAGCCAATGAACTTGTAAGACCGGAAGGGATCAAGCGTCTGATTGGCTGTATTTCTAAATAAAAGGAAGGCTTTATGGGTGTAGGTTTTTTTTGAGGAGTTGGTTTTGTTGGAGGAGTCTGAAGAAGAAATGTTTTGGTTCTCGGAGGTAGGCTACATGTTCTTTTATTGAGCTTTCACTCCTGACTGATCTGATGTTTTTTTCCCCCCCACAGACACCCAAATGTCAAGAAGCTGAGGTGTCCCCTCTGCAAAAAATGGAATGGAGCCTATCTTAAGAAAACAGATTAACAGAGGCACAAACACAGGATAACTCTGCAGAAACAAGGACGTTTATTTCAACAGATAGGACTTCTAGTTTTATAAAAAAAAATGCCTTCAGGGACTATCCAACACCTTCCAAGACAACCAGCGAGGACTGTTATGACTGCAACACCCCCACGCCTACGCCAAAAGGGTCCAGTGGGTCCAGACTTCCTCCGGCAGTTCCCGACCGCAGACGGCAGACCGAAGCAGAGCGCGGTGGAGCGGCTGGAAGCAGACAAGGCCAAATATGTGAAAAGTCAGGTAGCTCTTTCCAAACAGCAGCCTGTGAGGCCTCCTGATGTTCGGAAACCCCTGCTGAACCCTAGTACAGCTCTGCGGCCCACAAGGAAGACCCCGACCCCAACCAAAGCAAAGCAGGAGGGAGTCCAGCTTGACTTGGAGCACCTGAGTAACCTCATCAGTGGTGTGAACGATGGACCGCAATCTGGTGTAAAAGCAGAGGATAGACCCGATGGCGCAGAAAGCTCACCTCAGCAGACCCCTGCAGGGACACCTCAGAAAAAGGAGAGACCGACTCCCCCTCCCCGTCCTAATTGGTCCAGTCCAGCTAAAGTGAGATTAAAAGCTTCTGGTCCTGCAAGAGTAGAGAGTCCTGTTTCTACAGGGTCTCCTGCTGCAGGGACGGTACGCAGAGTGGACGTCATGCCTCAGGCCGGCCCTGCGAGGACGCCCTGCAGGCCACCTCAGTTCATCCGACAACCCCTTCAGCCTTTACACTCCCAGTCTCCGCTCCGCCCGGTTGCCTCTCATCTGCGCGTCTTCCCCCCTAGAACAACAACTACAAGTCCGCTGAAACCTGTCGTTGCTCTGCCGAAACCTGAAAACCCTGCTTCCTCTCCAGATGGAACCCCCGTCCTTTCTCCGCATCTTCTTAACTTCCCTGTGTTTCCTCCTACGTCCCCTGCAATCACCCGTCTGTCCTCCTCCAGCTCCAGAAAACGCCGCTCCCTGACCCGGTCTAAATCGGACATGAGCGATCGCTTCTCCCGGGCCGGCACAGAGCTGGAGCGCTTCTTCAACCTGTGTGGCCTGGACCCCGCAGACCTGCAGGAGTGGACTGGATCTAGTTCCGATATTGTGTCGCTCGCACGTTTCCGCAGCGTAAGCGCTCCAGGGTCCGAGGTTGCAGGCTCGGGCAGAGAGGAGGAAGACGAGGAGGAGGATGAGGAGGATGTTAAGAATGCTGCTGGTCGCGTGCCTTATGGTGTTTCTGTTATTGAGAGAAATGCCCGAGTGATAAAGTGGCTGTACGGACTCCGACATGCAAAGGACAACGCAAACAAGAGCACAGATTTATAGGACGTGTTTTCAAAGTCTGAAATAAGCTCGAAAACAAAAGCAAAAAGTTCAATGTGTCAGAATTTCATAACATACACTGATGTGAGCGTGTGATTGAGCTGGAAGTAAATGAGGTGTTTGATGTGATTTCTATAGAGATGGATGCAACCTTCTTCCTAATTCCTTGTTTTGATTAGTGTTTTTTTTTTCCTTTTTGAAAACTGGAAATTTGAGTAAATGTGTTTTTATTTTAAAGACGTGTTTCTTATTACTTTGTGAAAGTCAGATTTTGTTGTTAATGATTTTTCTCTTTGGGGTTGTGTGTGTCATAATGAGGATGTTGAAGTGTCATGTCTGACCGCAATCCTGCTGTGAAAGAACGCCATTAAAGATTGAATGATGCAAGCATCTTGTTTATTACCAAGTGATTTACTTTAAGGACCACAAATATATTTCCTCAGACCAATCAGAGCACACGGTTAAACGTTCATTTGTTTTAAATGATGTCAAAGGTCCTTATATTTAGTCTATTTGAAGCTACTGTTTATTTAGCTGAATATGACATTGTCAGAAAGAGGAAAAACTGGATCGACATGATTCATTGGAAAGAGGAAAGCGTCACTGCTGTTCCACAAGAGGTCAGATCCGTCCGTATCAAGACTTTTTCTCCTATCAGTGCAGGAATCTGTTTATTTCCATTTTCATGATTTCTCATCTTGTTTTTCTTCGTCTTCAAAATGCATCCTACACCAACTTAGAAAGCTGTTTTAATGTTTAATTCATAAAGATTAAGGACCATAAAGTGCAGTTCTGATCTGCATCATCTCCCTGTATCAATCAATCATTTCTGAAGCAAAAATCAATCGCAGTGAAAACATTTCTAAATCAAGCTACGTAAAGCACCCCAATCAGGATAACTTGTTTTTTTTAGCCAGTTCATTCTTTCTGTAAATATAAGTAGTTGGCGTGGATTAGACTCTTCACTCTCACACAGTAAGGAGTGGTTCGACCAGATTCCAGCGCGGCACAAGCATCACTTGAACACAAGAGTATCTGTGTCGAGACTGAAGCTCTCGGTGTGCAGTCGGCATTATTTTTTTGTCTCACTTCAAACAATGAATCGTCTAAAGAATTTTAAAGATGAAGTTCGGACATTAAAGAGTCGGTTGTTAAAACAGAACACAGACAGCGTCTCATCACAGAGGGTAAGTTTTTAAACAATGATTTTTTTTGTTCCTGATCCAGAACTTATATTAAAATCAGAAGATTTAAGTACAGTAAATCTTTTAGAAGTCTGAGTTAAATGGATGGCATTATGGTTTCATGTTTCTCTCTCAAATATGTTTTGAATTCATCCTTTAAAGTATGAGGATTACACACAAAAAAACTGACCAAATCTGTAAACAAAAAAAACAACAACCATACTGCTCAATCAAGACAGCACCATGAGAAGTAAGCCTCTTCTGTAACACTTGTGTATTCAATAAGTGTGAACCTGCAGTGAGAATAAAAAGAACTGGAAATACAAGCTGGTTTCTGTTCTATGCGTTCAGTTCACTGTGACATATCTTTTCCGCCATTGACATCTGATCATGGATTTTAATCCAATCCCCAAATTTAAAGCTCCTGTGAGGAGATTTAAGCTGGTTATGAAAGAGACTGAAATCCATTCAGATGCCTTTATGTGATCTATGAAAGCGAGCAAGACCATCAGCGACGAGCATGAATATTTATATTCGTTGATCATGCCTGTAAACAGTGCTGCAGGGTAGGTGTCAGAAATAATGATATGGTGGACTCGTAGAAGAGAGCAGGATACGATAAGACACCTAAATGTGCTGGACAATATCAGTAAAAAAAAAAAGAGAAGTGGAACTGGTTTGGCCAAAGGGGGCGCCAAAAATCGATACAAACCAAAAGTTTGTCACAGGAGCTGTTATCAATATGCAGTAGCACATTTTTAAAAAGAGCTTTCCACTGATTTTAAAAAAAGAAATGAAACATAGAAAAAGCATATAGACCTGTATAAAATACTTAAAAATATATAAACTGCATAGAAATTAAAAAAGAAGGACAGAGACTACAAACCAGACACACTCTTTAACTCCATCAGCTGCTGTAATAATTGTTTATAGATAAGATATCTGGGGGGGGAATAGTTTTTAGCCACTTCTCCAACATTGTTCATTATGACTTCTGTTATTTCTCCTTCATAGATTCATCAATTTTCTTTTCACATTCTCATACGACACAGTTGCTTATTTAATCAACCCTGTAGTTTCCCATTTTTCCAAATCACAGGTCAACTATTTCATTATCTAGAGAAAACAAGTTTTATCTTAGAATAAGGGGATAGTTTCTTTATCCCAGCAAAACAACAAAGGTCACATACTCTTATTATTACTTATAGACCAATCAGAAGTCAGGAGTGAGCATACATAGTTCCCTGACGGTCCTCTTACTGTCTGCTCTTCACAGGGGTCGGGGGGAATTCCTCTGGCCAGGAAGTTGTGTTATGCTGCGGGCGGGGTCCCATATCAGGTTACCACAGTAGCTATAGGTGTATCCATGCAGATATTTCTCCTTGATGTTGTGCAGGTAAGAGTTAAAGTCATCCCCACATATACGAAAAATAAACCAGTGTTGTCAATTTAAGAATAAACCCCCTCAGCATTTCACAGATGGAGGCCTACTATGTTTCTATCATTTTGTTTGTGAGTCGGGCCTGGGACGCTGTGACGGACCCTCTGGTGGGATATCTGGTGAGCCGCAGTCAGTGGACCCCCATCGGCAAGCTCACTCCCTGGTTGGTTGGTTGTTCATCTTCAGTTTAGAGGCTGCTCGTCCTTGAAGCGCTGTGTTGAACTGAGCTGATGATGTGTTTTTTTTGTTTTGTTTTCTGACAGGCTGGTTCTTTCCACTCCGTTTGCTGTCTTTTTGTATCTGCTGATGTGGTTTGTTCCACAAGGCTCCATGTCTCAGGCTCTCACTGCACTCTGGTTCATCACAGCAACCTGCCTGTTTGAGACCCTCATGAGTGTAAGTCAGTGTAAGTGGCACTTAAAGGTACTTCTTGTACTGATGGAAAAGGACATTACTTCAAGTAGGGTGCTTCAGAACAATTAGAGGCTTTTACCTCCAGAGGGGAATATTCACGTAACGCTCCTTTAATTGTATCTGTAGATTCAAGCGACTTTTAAAATATAGATTTTACATTTCAAAAACATGATATACTTAGAAATACAGAATACATAAAAAAAAGCAGCTTTGCAGCCACTCGTTACACTGAACGAGTGGTTTGGTTGTTAACAGTTCAACCAAAGAATGTTTTCCCCTCTTAACTCCCGAGATGATTACATAACAAGAGCTCTTTGTGGCACAAAAATACTATGGTGGCCCTGAGGGTCAAACCACAGGAACATTTCATGACAAGTCACAGTTCCTGAAATGCTGTTGAGTTTTTTTGAAGTTTTGGTTTGAGCCTCAGGGCCAACATATGACGAGATGTTAATTGTTAACAAAACGTAGAAAAAGCTCAAAACTGGAAACCTACTGAATCTAAGGACCCTCAGATTTAAGTTATGAACTTTTGAGTTCCCCAACCCAATGTTGGAAGCATTAGATTTAACTGCATAATCACCTTTAACATTTTAAAAGTGTTTGCATGATGATGCTTTAGGAAAATGTAGTTGGTTAAAAAATGCACTTAAAAGCATATTTAATTAGAGGAGTTTAACTTGTGCTGTGTTGACATTGTTATGTTGGTACTTTTATTTAAATAAAGGTTTTGGGTATCTCCTTCACCACTCTTCATTCGGATCTTTACATATTTTTTTGTTCCTCATCTTGTTTTCCCCCTCAGACATTGTTAACGTCCTCTTCCTCTTGTAACCATTGTGACGGTGTTTCATACTATTCTCACGTCCCTGTTAGATCTGTCATTTTGCTCCAGGCTTTGTCGCCATGGTTACAGACTTTCACACCGTTTATGTGCTGCCACTTGGCGTCTCGTTCTCCTCTGTCATCCATTAACAGTGCTACAACGTCCCCTTCCTCTCCCTCAACATGTTCCTGGGGGGAGATCACAGAGACAGAGACTCTGCCACGGCCTACAGTAAGACCACACGTCCTTACTCCTCACTGAGGCCTAAACAGACTGTAAAAAGTCATCGTCCCCTTCTTCTTCTTCTGTGGCAGGAATGAGTGTGGAGATGCTGGCGATGCTGCTGGCTTCTATAATTCAGGGTCAGGTTATTGCTGTGTACAACACAGAAAAACAGGAGGCCTGTGAACATCTGGACCAGGCTCATGAAACACCACAAAGCACATCTTCACCACAAACTGCATCTCTCAGGGAAACGGTAAAAGCTGTACTTCTATTCTTTAAAAAAAAAAACAATACCGGTCGCTCTAGCTGAGTCAAAACTCAAATTTCTTTAGCAGCCTTGCAGCATTGCTTTGGCTCTGGGCTGTCCCAGGGAGATCTCGTTACCCTGTAATTTACTGTTCTTAACTCAACAAAGGCATTGTTGTGTGTTCATGTGAACATGTTATCGTGCACAACAACTGGTTTTGATTTAATGGAATTTGCAAAAACAAACCATAAAAAGTCAATTTTAACTCTATCAAGGAGGATTATTGTAGGCTTAAGGGATAGTTTTATATGTATTAAGAATGTTGGGAAATAACCAGAGCACCCGGGGTAAACCAGAGAATAACAGTGGAGAAGGTTTAAGGGGGGGGGGGCTAGGCAAGGCAGACCCTGCTATGTGTAAAATACTGTCAGACTGCTTATTGTTTTGGAAAATACAAATACAGCATTATGTTGAAATCCACCACTGATCTGATGATATAGTCCCAGATGTAGGTGCATGAACTCTAGGACTTACTCACTCCCTCATCTCCGTTATGGCAGAACACTTATTCATAGGCAAGACTGCCAAAGAAATGACAACAATCTGCTGTTACCTTTATCACTGCCCTTCCCACTAGAACTATAGAAGCCCTAGGTTGACATGCAGCCATACATTTCATGTACTCCATTTTCCAGTTATAAGGATTCATTTCCAGTTGCTTTCTCAAGATCTCGACTGGACGCATTGAAAAGGGATTTTGGTTGAATTGTCTTTAAATGTAATGTGTGTACTTTGGCACCAGGAAAAGGTGTTCCTGACCTCAGCACTGGTCACAGGTGCTCTGTTTTTCCTGGGCAGCCTGGTTCTCTTCTTGGGGGTGAAGGAGCAGAGAGGTGAGTAAAGCAAACGTGGCCAACTGTCAGTGTTCAAACTGTGTGAAGATGTTGATTTATAAGCTTCTTGGAGTTTCATTTCATCACTTCTCTTCTCTGATATCTGTTATTTCCAGCGCCTCCCTGCTCTGATGACAAAGTACGACCCTCATATCTGACCTCTCTGAAGATGCTGACACGTCACATTCCTTACCAACGCCTGGTGCTCGGCTTTGTGTTCTGTGTACTTGCCTTTCAGGTACAGTTGAGATCAGAGCTTGCTGTGTTGACTCTTCTTTAACTCCGCTCAGCACAGAGAGATTAAAGCTGTACACAGCCTTAGCCCACCTTATGGATATTACTGACAACATGAAAGTATGAGAATGTTGTCTCCTCTCCGAGTGTCTCCTTATAAGACTAAATGTGTTACACTGACATGCTTGATTTGGGTTTAAACATTTAACTCTTTATTTTTTAAATTATTTGTACATTTTTTTTATATTTTTAGCCTTTATGACTTGGCTTCTGAAATGCATATTTTCTCATCTTTTTTGTGTAACATTCACCAAAAAGCCAAGGCAAATATATTTAAGTCTCCTTGGTAACAAACATGATTCCTATAGTCTTTTTTTTTTCTATTTTTATTATTAGTTATTCTGCCTTTTCTGCTTACATGTACCTTATGGTTATCAAAAAATAACATATTTTTACTTTCTGTCTCAACTCTCAGATGTCCATGGGTAATTTTGCGCTTTTTTGCAGTCATGCAGCTGGGCTAGGGGCCAATTTCCAGCACCTCTTACTGGTTCTACTGGTAAGATACAACTACAGAAAGAAACACACGCTGTGCTCGTAAAGATGTTTAAAAATGTATAATATGATAAGTAAGGGTGCTGAAATCACCTCTGCTTGAAATCATTGTTACACCATTACTCCAAAGTCACAAGGTAATATATTTTATTTACCTTTATCATCAGAGAAAATAAATGTTTTTTCTCTTATGTTCATCAGATGTGTATCACTTCATCATGCCAACATGCACACATGACATTTTTTGACATCAGTATCAACTGATAAAAGCTGAAAATGTCGGATTAAGGGGTAACTTTTATTGATCAACAATACAACAGACTGTACCTCAAAAACTCTTCAGTCGTGAATCGTGGCAGTCAGTCAAGAAATGAACCTTAAAACTGAAATCAGGTGTGAACAAATGCACTGACACTAACTTTTTGTTCCTTCATTGTGGTGCATGTGACTTTTGTGACACAATAAACTTGCCTCCAAACAGGATAAAACAAGCTATTTCTTTAGAAGGTTCTTAAGTCGTGTAGAGAAAATTGCATGAAAGCACATGCAGGGATGATCTCAGCCTCCGTGCAACAGTCTTCTAATGAATTTTTCAGGATGCATTTTGAATTTCAAATGAAACAGTCTCAATATTTCCCCAGGGTTCTGCCTCCATAGCAGTTCCTCATTGGCAGATGGTTCTCCTGACAATAGGAAAAAAGAAAACGGTTTTCATCGGACTGTCGGTAGGTAAATCTGTGTACAATACCTCGAATGATTCAAGTAGTTCCCACACCTCCTGTCTCCCTCTTACTGCCTCATTTTGTCTTTCCCAGCTCTTCATCCCAGCTGTGATTATAATCGCCTGTGCTCCCAGTAACCTGCCAGTTTTTATGATCATGTGCGTTTTGATGGGATTCAGCGTGGCGACTTTATTCTTGCTACCCTGGTGAGTCGGGTCTCTGCTAGGACACGCAGCCCTCTGTCCTCTCGAAGGCCCCTGTCAGATCTAATCAGTCTCACTGCGGTGCACATGAATCATTCAGTCTGCCTTTACCTGATCCTGGCCACAACATTCTAGGAATCATCTATTTTGCTGACCAATCCGTTTTTTTCCATCTGCAATGACATGAGGTTTTTTTTATACTGGATAAGTGTGCTTGTTCTGTATCTGCCTCAGGTCTATGCTCCCTGATGTAGTGGATGACTTTGCAGCCAAAAATCCCTCCTGCAGAGACCTGGAGCCTCTGTTTTTCTCCTGTTATGCCTTCTGCAGTAAGCTGGCAGGAGGCCTGGCTGTTGGAATCTCCACGCTGACATTACAGTGAGTCGATCAGTCTCACTTTATTATCATTTGAAGCCCGTTTGAGGGTCTGTTTGAGGTTTTGTTTTCTCCCATGTCTGCAGGTTTGTGGGCTACAAAGCAGGCTCGTGTAACCATGGCGACGGAGTGGTGACCGCTCTGATAGTGCTGTTCTCACCTGTTCCCATCGCACTTCTGCTGATAGGGATGGTCATCATCTGGTACTACCCAATCCAGGAGAGGCAATGTTTGCAGCCCCAGGATCAGCTGAGCACAGTTCAGTAAGTGGTGACTAAACCTCCCAATTGGGAACCACCCTTTTAAAATAATAGTGTATAAAATGAATTACAATATAAAAACTTGAAGCGCCTGGCGATTAAACTAAGGATCATTTTCAGTCCATCTCTTCTAGCTTTTTTGTGCGAGTCAGTGTCTTCATTAAGATACAACCAACAAGTTTACTGGTTGCCATAACCCAAACTGTAGATGGGGAACAACTGGTAAAGGTAATGGCTCATTAGGCAGCTAAGAGTATTTTTCCCAGAGAACTTGATGGAGAGCTCAAAGCGAGTGAATGTTTGACTTTAAGTTCATCAGTGGTTCAGAAACTAGGCTCTGGGGGATGAAAATGTTGCTCAATAACTGTTGGATACGTAAATAAGCTGTGAACACCCTAACATATCAAACAAAACAAAAAACTTGACATGACGTTGTTGTTGTCATGTAAACAGTTACAGTCAGTATGGGATCACAGTCACAGCCGGGTCATTAGCTATTTTAAAGCTTGAAATGATTCTGTTTTTGTGTTTGTTAGCACACCTGTTGATCTACAATTACGCAAGAATTTAAATTGAACAGCTTGGTATGTTGGAAACCTCACTTTTTCATTTGCTTGCCAAAATTTAGATGAGCAGATTGAATCAATCCCTCATCTCTGTATTCTAAATAAAACGGCAGCCAGGGGGCCTGTTAGCTAAGCTCAGCAGAAAGAGCAGAACAGCTAGTCGGGCTCTGTTCAAAGTTTGCCAAGAAAGGGAAAGCATATTTTCCAAAACGTAAACAAGGTTTTTTGTTTTTTTTTAATGTCCTATTTTCAAGACATTGAAATGAGGAACACACTGAGCACTCAAAGTAGTTCATAGAGTTAAATATAAATAGCTGTGGATGTACAGAAAGTCTTTTTAACAAGACTTTTTTGAGATTTGTCTGATCTGCATACACTGTTCCAGTATAAAGATCTCTCTCTGTAACGCATGTGTTATAAAATAAAACCCAAATGAACCCGGTTACCGCACATCAGCTGTAGTAAATTTGATTGATTTGTTATAGTGATTGTCATTTTAATGTTCTTTCTTCATCCAGGCCAGAAGCTACATCCTCATCATTGGGCTTAAGGGAAACCGCAGAGCAGCCGGCAATCCTGCAGCAGCCGTCAAATACCTCACAGTGTGACTTCAGTCATGATAGGAAAAGCTCAGTCAGGTCGTCTGTCCGTTCACATGCATCAAAGAGCCCCTCTGGAGAGTTCAGCAGGCCTAAAGCTGTTGTCCAGTCAAATGAAAATCCTCGATGTCATAAGCAGAGACTCAGCCTGCACCGGCACTCAGAGGAGGAAAAATTGGTGCGAAATTCCTCCCAGAGAGGTTCTGGGTCTTCCTCCAGCAGGTCAAAAAAGAAATCCAAAGTGTCGTGGGTTTAGTCAAGACACCTAAGAGCAATGGTTTGACATTCTGGGAGATGTCTTTGTTTTGTATTGCTGTGAGCGCTCATGTCAGCAAGTTAAATATGAGCCTGAAGCGAGCAGCTGTTAGCCTCAAAGACTCAGGAAAGGAAACAGCTCGGCCTAATGAGTCCAAAGGGAACAAAGTTTACTTAACAGCACTTCTAAAGCTCCAATTTGACATGTTATATCTTATTTGTTTTAATCGCTCAAAACTGAAGTGTGGAATTGACAAGACATTGTTTTATAAGAAATGAAGGAGGCGCTGTAACAGTTTTAAACATTGCGATTCAGTAAAGGCCCCGTATAGCAGGAGCTTCAAAAACACAAACACTCGGACATACTGGTGTTCCCCGTCGTCTCGGATGTTACACCTTGCCACCACCTTCACCATATTTTGCCTCTGTTACTACCTCCGATGCCGGATCAGAGGCAGAAAGATTTCACCCTTTGTCACGCCTCCGTGCCTTCCACATTGCAGACATGATTTAACAGGGGCATAAATATCCCGCCTTGAACTGGCAAGAGTTAATTGTCCCTGTGAGGAAGAGAGATAATAACAGACCACGTACCTCTGAATCAACAATGTGTCATTGTTAGATTTCTGTTTTATTTATGGACAACAACTTGACTCCATCACTGTTGATGTGTAAATAGGTAACTCTTTGCAAAAACCTTGTCATATTAAACTGTGATGGTATCTTAATGTTGTGTTTTGCTTTTGTTACTCCTAAGTGGACCAAGTAATCAGTTATTGCAGGTTTATGCTGAACATCCATCCATTGCCTTCTGCTTATCCGGGGGCCAGGGCGCGGTGGCAGCAGGATAAGTTGACCCAGACATTCCTCTCCCCAGCAACACTTTCCTGCCCCTCCTGGGGGATTCTGAGGCTTTCCCAGGGCACACACTGTAAAAACATAAAGTCATGATAACATACAATTCTAAGTTAGTTTAACTTCAAGTCTATGAAAATGTTGTTTTAACTCAACTAATTGAAAGTTTTCCATCTTTGAAAAGTGATTCATATTAACTTAAAAATGGCAAGCTCTATTTTCAATTGAGAGGAGTATTATTCTTACCTCGTTGTAGTGAGGGGGTTTCAGGGATGTGGATGGAGATGTACCTGTGCTGGGCAGTGAGTCTGAACGTGCTCTTTTGTAATCTGGAGAATGGCTGGATTTCTCAGTTTTCTTGGTAAGTTGACATGCTCATGATGCAGAGTATTTTGTAACAGCAGTCGAAAAAGTCGTGGAGGTCGTCAAAACAATTCTCCAGGGGGTCAAGGTCGGTTGAAATTGAATTCCAATTTTAGAAAGAAGAAAAGGGAAATGGAGTTTGTAGAGATAATACAGACAAATAATTTGCTTAACAGTCGGATCAGAATTGTTTGTGGTTCGCAAGATTTCTCCCGAACCACCCTGTCTCTCACCAGCACACTACACTGGGGTCGGGAGTTTTCTGAAAGCTGCCAAGAAATACAATTGGACATTGTCTCAGATCTTTTCTGAAGTGTTTGTTTTCCCATACTAAGATCACAACATTAAATGTGTAAATTATTGATTTTATAAGTTTGTTGCATCTGAAAGTGCTGAGAAAAGTGATCGATAAATGGTAAATGATAAACAAGCTAGCACAGTATTTTAGATAAACACATTTGTAAATGTTTAGATTTGTGCTATTTGATCTGATCTGCTATTAAAGGTTGAAGAACTTAAAGGGATACTTCACCCATTTGCATTAATCTTTGTATCATTAGAAGCCTGGTGGTATTTTTGAATGGTCGTGTATCCCTCCCTCATTTTCCCCTGAGATGGGAAATCTTTGTATTTCTAAGTCTGATAAGGAGCTTCAAGTGACGTAAAATGACATTTTTGCATCATTGGAAGCTGTTGCGGTTAGCGGAGTGAAACTACAACGCTAGTTCCTCATATTTTCGACCACTGAAGCTACAGACCAATCACAGATCAGTGGGTGGGAACTCACTCCCAGAATCTAAACTTAACATTCGCCATATTGCTTGGAAGCTATGCTAACAGGCTCTATGGAGAAAGCTGATCATGGCGAAAAAATATAAATATAGCGGCGAGATGGCTGCTGCCGTCAGGCCGGTGTTGTGTTTTGGCTGCTGCGGTTGCTGGCTGCCGGGGCCGCCACGACACAAGACTGGCCTATCGGCAGCAACCGTCTCACGGCCAGCTCAGCAGCCGAGACATAAGGCCTACCTGTCGGAGGCGGTGAGGACGAGGAGCCCGGGCCGGCTCGAGCTGGGGCAGACTGATAGTGTCGGCGCTCTCACTGTTTGCCTATGGACACAGACATAGAGTCTGTTTTCTGCCAGGAATTTCCAAGATCAATTCTGGAAGAAATCTCAGAATCAGTTGAGGAAATGGCCTCGTGTTGAAGTAAATATGTCTGTAAATGTTTTTATTACTATATTTCTGCTATATTGTATATTTTGGAGAAACTTTAACGATTGAATTTCCCTCTGGGATGAATAAAGTATTTCTGATTCTGATTCTGAACTAGAGGACCTTAGTGGGAGCGACCTGCGGTGCTGTGCATTCTGGGATTTGGTGTCTTTTATCCACATGAGCCAAAAAGAAACTTTCTACCTTTTCTCGGCCAAGAAGGCACCAACTTCAAAAATTTATTTCACACTTCTACTACATATATGACCCAATGTCAATACAGATTCATGTTTCAACGGGTGAAGTTTCCTTTTAAGTTGGTTTGATAAAACGAATAACCTGTAGAGATGATACCTTTTTTTTTATTGTTATTTGAAAGGAAGTTGAAAGTTTCCACAAAAGCAAAGAGAATCACTGAACATTTATAAACTAAACTGATTTAAGTTAACTAAAATAAAAATATATATTCCATTTAAATTGATGAATTCATTTAAGTTAATATTTTAGTTGGATTCAACTTTTGATTAAGTATTCAAATTTTAGATTTCAAGACAAAAGAAATTGAAAGACCATTTTGCCTTAACTAGATAATATCACAGGAACTGAATTGTGATTTGAATTGTTAACTTAAAGATTTAAGTCCAAGTGACTTGATGTCAAGTTAATTTGACTAGACAATTGTATTTCTTTGGAATAATCACAAATGTGTCTCAACTTAACATTAACATTCTAACGAAGCCCGGACACTAACTTTTTTAAGTTATAGCAACTATAGTTTTTTTTACAGTGCATGTATTCCCTTCAGCAAGCTCTATGTCTACCACAGGGTCTCCTCCTAGTGGGACATGCCGGGAACACACTGGGGATGCGTCAAGGAGGCATCCTAATCAGATGCCAGAACCACTTCATCTGGCTCCTATCCATATTATTATTCACACAATGATAGGGCTGTATGTCTAAAAAGTTATAGAAAGACTATTTTTAAGGTTATTCCACAGGGATACCACAACACAACATTGCTAAAAGGTAAAATAATATTTTTTGAAAGGGAAACAAGTCTGTTTACTTTTTCTCCTGTGTTGTCTTCCAACAAGAGTTGTTCATAATAACTTCGTAGGGGCTTCATGAACCAGAAATTAATCATGTTTCTGTTTTTTAAATAAACTCTTGTGCAAGCGAGTGCCCTGTAAATATAGGCTTCATATAATATTGCTCCAACATGATTTTGATGATTTTGTGTGGATGCTGTGGCTTTGCGGGAGGGATACATGGGCGGATGGGTGTTTGAGAGCCTTTATGTTTATGTGTGTATTTTGTCCTTGACTGTCTGTATCACACTGTACTGTTGTGTTTTTGTTTTTGTGTTGGACCCCCTCGAAAACGGGATGGTTCATCTCAAGGGGCAATCCATCAAATAAACAGAATTTCTCACTATTCCTGAAAGAAGTGCCTTGAATCATGTTACTCTGCTGCAAACACTTGTCTGTTAGACCTTCAAACATCAGTCAAGGCTTTCCATAAATTAGATTTATGATTGATTGATTGATTACATGTCATGATTTGGTCTTTTTTAGTTTAGTTTTTTTTTGTGTTTCTTTATGTTCTAGTGTGTTTTGTTCATTCTTGAGTTCTGTGTGTCTTCAGTGTTTCATGTATTTATTTTGTAGTTGTCCTCAGTGTTTCTTGTCTTGTGTTCATTCCTTCCTCTGGGACACACAACAACTGACACAGAAGGGAAGAAACACAGAGACTAAATAGACATGGGGTAATCAGACACAGGTGACACTAACGACACAGGTGAAGACAATCAGGGCAGTCAAGGCAGGGAGAAACACAAGACCAGAAACCCTGCGGACAATACAGAATAAATCATGAAACACTAAAGACACACAGAACTCAAGAGTCTAACAAAACACACTAGAACACACAGATGCACTAAACCAGGGATTGGGGCAACTTTGGTCACAGCAAGGGGCCACATTCATTCAATTCTCATCGCCAGAGGGCCAAATTGTAGAATACAAAAATGATTTCAGTCAATTATGTCTCAAATTTAACTTTTTAATTTTATTTCTTCTTTATTTCGAACGATTAAAAAAATAGATGAAAATGAATAAACAAATGGAAAAAAATAAAAATCTGTATAAAATAAAAAGCCAATTTCAATATAATACACATTTGACTCGTTCGAAAAGGGATAGGAAGAAGCCTAGGCTTGTCAAGTCCTACCCCCGTTCTTCACCATTAAGAAATGCAAAATCCAATAAAATAAATAAACGGACAATACAAAAAAAAAAACTCCAATCAAGCTATTAAGAAAAACAGAACAACTCAATATAAACCAGTGATCAAATATTATTATGGACATATTTCTGGTTTTCATGATGTCATGGCAGATTTTTGTCATGTTTTCTTCATGTTTCCAATTAATTGATGTGTAAAAATTGACCTGAGGGCCACGTTGAGGGTTGATGGGGGGCCGCATGTGGCCCCCGGGCCGCCAGTCGCCCACCCCTGCAGTAAACACTGAAATACAAAACTAAATAAGACCAAAACATGACAATATAGGCTATTAGACATTAAAATGTACAATTATTTTTTTCACTCAAAACAATTTTCAAAATAAGAAAACAATTTTTTTTGTTTTATTATTATTATTATTATTATTATTATTATTATTATTATTATTATTATAATGCTTATGATGAGCTTGTGCGGGGTTTTTTCCTCCCTCAAAACAATTTTAAAAATAAGAAAACAATTTATTTTTATTTTTATTATTATTTTTATAATGCTTATGATGAGCTTGTGCGGGGTTTTTTTCTCCCTCAAAACAATTCAAAAAATAAGAAAACAATTTATTTTTATTTTTATTATTATTTTTATAATGCTTATGATGAGCTTGTGCGGGGTTTTTTCTCCCTCAAAACAATTTTAAAAATAAGAAAACAATTTTTTTATTTTTTTATTATTATTTTTATAATGCTTATGATGAGCTTGTGCGGGGTTTTTTTTCCCCTCAAAACAATTAAAAAAATAAGAAAACAATTTAAAAAAAAATTATTATTATTTTTATAACGCTTATGATGAGCTTGTGTGGGGTTTTTCCCCCCCTCAAAACAATTTAAAAAATAAGAAAACAATTTTTTAAAATTT